AAAAAAAGGGAAAAGAAGGGAAAAATAGAAAAAGGGGGAACAAGAAAAAAAAGGGGGGAAAAGCAGAAAGGAGAAAATGGGGAAAAAGGAAAAAAGGGGAGAAAAAGGGGGGGAAACGGGAATATGGAGAATAACAGGGAAAAAGCTGAAAGGAGGGAAAAGAGAAAAAAGGGAAATAAAGTGGAAAAAGGAGAAAAAGGAGGAACAAAGGAGGGAAGGGGAAAAGGGAAAAAGAGGAAAAAAGAGGGAAAAAGAGGGAAGAAAAGGGGAAAGGGGGGGGGATAAAAGGGAAGAACAAAAAGAAGAAAAAAGGGGAATAAAGGGAAAAGAAGAAAAAAAGGGAAAGGGGGAAAAAGGGAAAAAAGGGGGGAAAGGAGAAAAAGGAAAAAAAGGTGAAAAAAAAGAGGAAAAGGAGAAAAAAAGAGGAAAATATGGGGAAAAACAGGGGAAAAAGGCGAAAGAAGAAAGAAGAAGAGGGAAGAAGAGGCAAGGACAAGGTGGGACGCCCAGCCGTGGCCTCGCGGTCGGTTCTGTTCCCTCCCAGCAGCAGCTCTCAGCCGTGGCACAGACGCACGCAGGGCTGCAATCATCATCTCCTTTATTATTCTGTAAATGTGAACTTTACAAAGCGTTGTACAATGAATGGTCGCACCGTCCGCGTCTTCCTTTCTCAGAAATGGATTTTCCGTCATCCGAAAACAGCTGTGAGCACAGTTCCAATGGGGGTAGGGGGAAAGTTGGGGAGGGAGGGGGGGGGGGGGGGGGGGGGGGGGGGGGGGGGGGGGGGTGTCCTTAACCTTTTATTTCTCATTTTAGTTACCTCTATATGGCATCAGCCGTGGCTACAAAATAACAGTCGTAACTACACAGAGTAAAGAGCACATAAATACCAGTGAATAACGCGCGATCAAAGTAAAAATGAAAACAAAAAAAAGAAAAGAAAAAAAAAAAGAAAAAACAAAACAAAATGAAGCGAGCATCGTCCGTGGCTGAGAGACAGAGCTCAGTGGTGCTGCGGGGCTCTCCTACAGCACGCACAGGGATAACAGTCGTGGAGTCACAGTACTGCGCACAGCGCCGGGCCGCCCTCAAACAACGGCACCGCTCAGCCCTTCGCTTTGCCTTTACCCCAAAGCACCCGAAGGGTCAATGCTGCGTCCCAACCCGACGCCCTCCGCCCCGAAGGACGGCTCCGAACTTTTCCCTACGGCGTCGTTTTTCCATCCGCTCCATTCGTTTCTTTCGTTTCGGGTTTGTTCGTTTATTTCTTCTGTCTGTCTGCTAAAAATAGTATTGCGAGTTTTGGCTTTTTTTTTTTTTTTTTTTTTTAACTTCGACATAAAAACCAACCGTCGTGTGCAAAACGCTTCTATTAACAGTGGAAGAAACTCATGGCAGCGCCCGCTCGGTGCGCAGAGCTCCGACAGCCCCAGCTTTGGGGCAGCCCCGAGCTGACAACATCGATACAGCAGGAACACTTTGAAACAGCAGTTGGAGCCCCAGACGGCCGTGAGCTCACCGTGCTGCATTCAGGATTTACAGCCGGCGGAGGCTCTTGGTTTTCGGTTGGTTAATGGGCCATACACCTTTCTCCGCTCACAGCGAGTTATTTCTGTAAATATAAGCAATCCCAACAAAAGCTTAGCAGGAAAACGACTGGGAAAGGCATCGATCCCTGCTCAGGTGGCTCCGTGTGGCCACCAGCCCATGTGCACCTCACAGCAGGATGGGCACGGCACCCCACTGCTGCTGGGACACGGCGGGGAGGAGGAGGGTCCTACAGCCCTCTGCTGCTGGGAGCTGAGAAATGGGGGTGTGGGGATAAGGAGATAAGGGGATATGGAGATAAGGGGATATGGAGATATGGGGATGTGGGGATATAGGGATGTCTGGATATAGGGATGCATGGATATGGGGATGTGGGGATATGGGGGCTGCACGGAGCACACGCTCTGATTTCTTTAAAGGTGCTTGGTATAACTTTAGATATATAATATACATGTAATATTGCTAATAGTCAAGCATAGGAATAAAGGTGCAGACATACCATAAATACTGATGCTCTGATTTTACACTATCAGACCTAGATGAATGCAGTTTCCTATTCACATTATAAAGCAGCCCCAAATTCTATAATTTAAAATAGTGTCGTAAACAAAGAGGAGGAAGGAGTTGGTTATGATCTGATTCTCTCCATCTGTTTTCCTTGGAAAAAAAAGAAGGAAAAAAAGAAAAAAAAGAAGAAGAAACAAAAAAGATCAAAAAATTCTAAGGCACTCAGGAAAGCCGCATACAATCGATGGACTGCTCTGTTCTCGCGTTACATTCAGTGTTTCAAAGGGGTAACTTGGTTGTGTTTGTCAGAAGAATACAATCATTATCCATATAACATTTTCAAACATATCATTAATCCTCCACACACAGGAAACATTAGTGCAAAATGCTTGCCCTCATCTACCAGATAAGGAGAAACCCAACGCCCTTCACATTTTAGAAGTTTGCCTTCCTAGTAATAAGAAGTAATAAAACGAACCCAAATCAAAGAAGAACAAAAAAAAAAAGCAAAAAATAATAAAAAGGAAAGAAAGAACCCCAAAAATATACAGGAAGTTGTGCTAGGTATAAAAATATATATTTTCACTGTGCAACTCGACTCTCTTCAGATTCTCTGCCCTAAGCCATTCAAGTACTGCTGCTGCTGTCCCTGGGCGCTGTCTGGGAGCGCTTTGCTCGGGGCTCCTCGAGCCAGCAGGGAGCCCACACAGCCCCATCCAAAGGGGTGAGGAGGAGGAGACCCCGCAGGGCTCCCCACGGGTACAGAGTGGGGATGCTCAGCCCCTCACCGGGCAGCCAGCATCGCTGGGGGCACCTCGGAGGGCAGCGGGGCAACGCTGGGCTGTGGGACCCTCAGCTCCACGGGGAGGGGTGGGAGGGGAAGCCCGAATCACAGCGCTGTGCTGGGGCAGCACCACGCGTCGGGAGGAGCGGGTGTTGGTGGATGTGGGTAAAGTGCAAATGGGGCCGGGGCAGTGGCAGTCCTGTGCCCCCCGTGTCGCACCCACTGCCACTGGGGCTGGGGCAGGGGCTGCCCCGTGTGCTGTCCAGGGTGGGGGGGCAGGGAGGAGCCCGGCATTTCTTGGTCTCAGGGTAAAGAACAGCAGAACGCTCCAAGCGCCGGACAGCTTTGTATCACGGTGCCAAAAAACAGCTTCAAGTATCGAAGAAAACAAAACACGTGGCCAAAGGCTGGGCCAGCCTCTCGCCCCTCCACTTCCCGAATTTCAACACAGAGACGGAAGGAAACCCTGAGCAAAGTGCTGCCTGGATCCAGGAACCAAAGTGGGAAAGAAAGAAAGAGCCCCAGGAGCCCAAAGCGACCGCCTGTGGTGCAACTCGTCCAGAGACCCGGACCTGTTGCACTCTAACACACCCTAAGTACCTTAACGCAGGCCCTTCCGTCACAGTAAAAATTAAAAACAAAAGCAAAAGCAGCCATCCTCAGCAATGCCAGGGCTGCCCCCTGCCCAGCACCGCTGCGCAGCACCGCACACCTCCATCCATCCCCAGCACTGAGCTGACCACGTCCTGCTGAGCCGAACCCATCGCTGTGCCCCGGGGACGGCAGCCTGGGATGGGCAGCAGGCAGTTGGGTGTGAGGGTTTCTTCCCAGCAGGATGAGCCAAAGGCCAAAAAGGGGTACAAAGCTCTTTGCTTTTAGTAAAAAAAAAAAAAGAAGAAAAAAGAAAACAGCCTTTGCGCACCCATTTCAGACATAGGAGCGGGCGCAGGGGCGAGGAGAACCCAGCGCAGCGGAGCAGCTCAGAACAGGAGGGGGAGAGGAACCAACCCGGCAGCACCGAAAGGGGCACCGAAAGGAACAGCCACGTCCTGCATCCCGCATCACACATCCTGCATCCTACTGACCTTCCACCAACAGAAGCATGGAGCACTTTCCCCCACCCCGTGCCACGCAGCCCAGCAGCCCACGCCCCAGCGCTCCACGACGCACAACTCGCTGCCGAGGACAAGGTGAGCGATGGCTGTACTTCTGAGCTGAGGAATGGATGGGTGGTGATGGGGGGGGGGGTATCGAGCATTTCTCCTCCCCTTCTTTAAAAAAAAAAAAAAAAAAAAAAAAGGAAAAAAAAAAAGGAAAAAAGAAAGGAAAAAAAAAAAAGAAAAAAAAAAGCTACAATCGCATAGACTAACCTCAGGAATATCAAAAAAAGGAGCCCGATAGTTTTCTCTTTTTTTAAGTAGGTCGCCACAGACCTATCGTTTACAGTATAACGAATGCGATTATTTCCTTCATAAATTTTAAATACAAGCAGAATAAAAATCACATTTTTTTCAGGCAACAGTAGCAGTTCAGTAGGTAAGTGGCTTGATCACATTTTTGTTTTGTATTAGTAATGCATGCAAGCAGCTTTAGTATTACAGATCCCTTATAGGTCACAAAACGGTTGCTCTCTCTATAAAGTCCCTCCATAAGTGCCATCCTGTCTTCTCACCGGAGTTTCGGGCCGGCTGGAGGGGCCCGAGCCCTGCTCAAAAGGTTGGGGAGTGCTTTGGGTATCCGATGCCATGGCATCCGTGGCAGCCGCCTCCTGTATGACAGAGCCGGCGCCCTCGGCATCCTCGCTCTGTTCGAAGGACTGGCTGGATCCATTGCTCAGATCGACGCTCACTGTGTTAGTTCTCAATGCTACTATAGTTCCTGAATCGCTCCTCCTTTCTGCATAGATTTGCTGCTCAAAGACCTGAGCAGAGCTGGGCTGGAATTCGGGATCCAGAGGGACGCTGTTTGTGCTGGAGCCCATCACGGTGCGGTACATCTCCATCCCCTCGGGCAGCATGGATTTGATCTTCGGGAGCCAACGCTTGCGGACCCGGCGGGCGTTGGTGCACATATCAGCTGCTATGACATTCATCTCGCTTTCCTTAAAGCTTGGGGCAAAATTCTGACAATACACTGCAAAGACAGGGATACACAGCACTGAGGGAGGGCGGGCAGCAGCGCCAGGCCCCAATGCAGGGCTCAGTGCAGCCCAGTGCTTGGATGGGTGTCAGAGCTCCCTGCCACACTGAGAACAGCACTGCCAAGGGGTGGGCAGATGGGGGGCATGGGAGGGGGCTGGAGGAGGGGGCTGGAGAGGGACCGAGCCCTGGGACAGTGGGTTCCCAACCACCAGGCCCAGCTGCCAGCCAGGGAGGCACCCAGCAAAGGATCCACCAACAGCTCTGATGTTACAGAGCAAAACCTGTGATGAGCAATGAGCAACTATAGCTCGTGCACTGGATATTTCCCTGTGAAACGCCTGAAAAATCATCCGATGCCCTGATACACAACAGCAAAGTTCAGCTGGGGCACTGCTGGCCTGGCCAGAGCTGTGGGAGCACTGCACCCAGGCAGCAGTCCCTGCAGTGCTTCTGTCTCTGTGTACTGAACATTTGCCGCTCCATTCCTCTCTGCAGAGCTCAGTGTGATATTTACAGTCAGTAAATATGCCATACAGACTCCAGCGGGGTGACAGAACCCTTCCTCTCCACCATGCACCAAGAGCAGGTGGGATGGGCTGCATGGTGCCAAAGGCAGCTCCCTACTGAGGGTCAGCAGCCAAACCCCCCGGGCCTTGGCCTCAGACAGCCCAGGGCATGAAAGCCAGGGCAGCGAGACCCAGTCCAGCAGTATCCAGCACTGAGTGCTGCCAAAAGCCATCATTTTGATTTCCTTCTTAGAGCACCCCATAATTAACTGCGAAATTGATGTTTTAAAACACAGCGAAACAGTCAAGTAGCGATGACGCTTCCTATTAAGATGCTGCCAAACAAAAAATTAAATTCAGACCAAAAAACTGACATCATAAAATCAATTTCCCTGTCACCTAATTTCACCATAACATTTCCCCCTCTAGCACAACAGAGACGGCCTTCCCTGCTAAGGTTCTGGCTTTGCTCTCAGCATGCAGTCCCACCCCAGCAGCAGCAAACCCCTCTCCTTACGTTTCACGGCGTTCAGGACTCTGCTGTCCAGAGGTTTCCTGCTGGGGTCACTTGTGGAGGAGCGGATTCCGGTTCCACAGCTGTTGGCAAGGGTGTTCCTGCAGGAGAGGCAGAGCAAGACCTTCACACCGGGCACCCACGGCCCTTTGGGGCACACAGTGCCTTCAGTGCAGGGAGGGGCACCGAGACGGAGGTCTTAAGGCAAGGAATTGGAAATTGTTCAGGTTCAGGCATTGCTGGGAAATGGCACAGAAGTGTGGCAGACCCAGAGGGTGACACATTCACGCATCATCTGCCGGCACGCTTAGAACACCAGCAAATGCTTTGGGTCCCTTGGGGAGCAGGACGTACCGATCGAAGAACGTGGCCAGGAGTCGCCTCAGGAGGACTTTGTGTTTGACACCAGCACATAAGTGGCAATTCATCAGCTGCCCCCGCGTGATGTAAACACCTGAGCCTGGAAGAGAGGGAGAACTGGGGGTGAGGATGGGCTGTGCTGTGCTGCAGGGCAGGGCGAGAGCCCAGCAATGCCTGTCTGTGCAGGATGGTCTGCAGGAGCCAAACAAGAGCATTTTATTTTTCCACCCTGCAAAGACACACAGAACACGTGGTACTGTATATACAACTGGACTGTTTGTTCTCTCTGAAGGAAGAAAAGCCCAAAGTGATTGGCTTTTCCTGTCCTTGAGTGAAAGAGTGGAGAATATAACTAAAACGAGAGCAAAATCCCCATCTAGCACAGAAAGAAGGACACCCTTTGCTCTCAAGATATACAAACACCTACTGGAGAAACAGAATCCCTCCTAGGTTTGAAGGACAGTGCCCAGAGCCCAGATTTCATGGACAAAAGCAGTTGGAAATGTGTGAGTGCTGCTCTGGATGTCACAGCAGCTCTGCACACTGCGTCCGCCCATCGGATTTACTGCCACCGTCGCAAGGCCAGCTTAAGGCTGTGCAGACAGAGCTGCTGAAGTTTGCAGAATCCACGGTGGCAGGAAAGCCTGAGACAAAGGGAAAAGCTCGGGGGGGTTCCCAGAGGCGCGTGCTGAAGGATGCGGGGCAGCAATCAATGGGCTGCGGTGCGATGGCACGGGATGAACCAGCAGAGGGAATGCTGAGTGCTGCCACGGGCAGTTCTGCTTCAGCAGAGGGAAAACAGCCCAGGCAGCTGCTGCTGGGTACAGACATTCATCTTTTTTTCCAGATGGAAAAATGTAAATGAAGCCGAGGTGCCCCCAGCTCGCAGCGTGCACCGTGGAAATAACCGCACCGCTTCGTGTTTGTAAGAGGTCTCACTCAAAATGTAAACGGGCACAAAATGAATATTCCTGATCCCATGTAACTACGGCTCCTGCCTGCCAGCACAGACCTGCCCAGTGCTACCAGCCCCTCTGCAAAGCACAGCCACAATCCTGCTCCGACCCAGAGACAATCAGGCTCAGATGAAGGAGCGCAGAGTGGGACGGCCACGTCCTTCAGCAGGGCACTGCATGGGTCACTTCACCCAAATGCAGTGACCCGGTGGGGGGAAGCAGCTCATGCTGTGTCATGGGGCACTGCAGCATGGAGGAAAGTGCAGCAGCCCACAGCTCGTGGGGCTGGAATCTGGGCACTGCAGCCATGCAATGGTCTCTGCAATACAGACCCATGGCAGCAGCTCAAGGGCTCCGTTCTGCACCCAGCAGGGCCATAACCCAGCACTGGGGGGCAGCCAGGTCCCCACTGACTGCTTGTTTCCAGCCACTCTGAAAATAAAGATGGCGGAAAGGTCCATGCAAACCCCATTCGTTCTCTTCCTCCCAACCTGGCAGCTTGAAACACCCCCAATTTTTGGATGGGTTTTTCAAAGCTTGCTCACCGGCACCAATTTCACTTCCGTTGCTTTATAAATCTTTCAGTCTGATGAATTATTATTATTTTTTTTATTTAAAAAAAAAAAAAAAGAAAGATCTGTGCATCTAAATCAAAATACAATTGCCATGCAAGCCCACACCAATCAGGAAGAACACAAGCTGCAGAATTCAATTAAAATGCTAAATTAATTCAATTGAATAAATCCTGTTAATGACACATTTTTCTATCAGCAAATTAAAGGAAACTCAGAACTTTTTTTTTTTTTTTTTTTTTTAAAGATGATTGGTGATGAATAATCCAGAAAGACAAAGCAAGGGCACGCGCGGCTCCCGCAGCGGCACAAGAGGAAGAACACAAGAGGAAGAGGACAGTAGCAGAGTTTTCCAGCAGTTCCCAAGCCAAGAGCTGCTGCCCCTCATTACCTGCGACGAGCTCCAGCTTCTCCCCAGGGTCCCCCTCGGAGTAGAGCTTCGGGTGGCAGCGGTAACCAATCTGGCTGATGAGACTGGCTGGGAGGGCAACCAGATCCCGGCGGATGAGGACACAGGAGCGGTTCTCCAGCGGGATCTGCTCCGGCTTTTCTTGTGCAACTTAAAAATTAAAAGGGAAAAAGATTAAGGCAGTGCACGGGGGAGGTGCGGTGTCACCAGGAGGGTGCGTTGCAGCTTCTCCAGGAAGGCCCTGGATGGAAGCAGTGCAGCCCGCAGAGGGGCTTGGTGCCACGGAAGGCTCCTGCACCCAGCGATGCTCTGCCTGCCTCCAGCTCCTTGGTGTGGGCAGGCAGCTCTCCACACCTGCCCCACACCTGCAAATGGGATGTGCATGGAGAGGTGACTTCCCCTGGCATCCATAAAGTGGGCTGGCAACCCAACAGTGGGCTCCAAAACAGGCAACAGATCACCCAAATTCCATAATGCCTCCTTTGGTACCCGAACTGCTTCTCCTGCTGAAGTCACATTTCCCCTCTCCACGTACAACAGCCCCATCTGCAGACCCATTCAGAGGGCAGTGGCGCACCAAACAGCCCTGCAGTGCATGGGGCCGACTGGCTGCACCATCAACAGCACCTTGCTGCATGATTTGGGACCACCACAATGCTGCTTCCAGGTTTGCACCTTTCTCCAGCACAGCAGAGCTGTGCTCAGTGTGCAGGCAGGAACAGAAGGGACTGCCACAATTCTGCTGCACCCCAAAAATAGTGGGCAGCACACAGCTGGCTGAGCACAGTGCAAACACACCCAAAGCCAACATTCACCCACAGCTTTCTGTGCTCCCAACAGCCCCGAAGCAGCAGCTGGCAGGCAGGGGTGCAGCACAGAGCTGGTGCTCACTGTGCTACCTGTGCATGACGGGCTTTGTAGACCTCAGCCACCCCTTAACAAAGCTCTGCACATGCCGTGTCTGCCTGCAGCAATGCCTGGCCACGTCCTTGTGCAAGCAGTGCAGCAGCCAGCCCCTGCAGCAGGTGGGACAGACAGACACCCTTCTACCACTGCTCATACACTAATTTCCCATTGAAAAACACATCTGGGGCAATCCGCTAATACACTTCGGTCACATCTGTCTTGCTGTCTACCAACTCCTCCTTACACATGGGCACAGCTCATTTTTGGGATCAGCCTCGATCCGACACGAGCACAAACTCGGTGCCACCAACAAGCCCTGGGAGGTGCAGGACTGCACCCAGCAGACGGCCGGCACGGCACAGAACAGTTATGTAAAGATGCAGAGCACAAGGGACACTTTGCTCCCATGTTCTCAAAGAAAGCAACTCTGTTTGGCCACTGTGCTCGGAAGAACAGGACAGTATTCGCTGCTAATTAATGTGGATCTTCAGAGGGCAGCAGCTCCTTCCAACGCGAACAATGCCGGGCATTGTTTGGGGCAGCTCTGCCTGGACCGAGCCCACCCCGGCCAGGGGAGCAGGAAGCACTGCAGAGGAAGCAGAGAGAGCTGCACGCCAGGCACGGATTTCATTTTGCATCTGCAACTTGTGAGGATGCAGCAGAGAGCACTGCAGTGGGAAGCGCCCGGGCGCAGAGCTGCAATGGGAAGCCACAAGTCACGAGCCCACGGCTACAAAATCACCTCCATCTGCTCTGTGCCAACGCACGGATCATTTTCACCTTCTCTCCTGAGAAGTTCCTTTCCAAACAGCTTTATCCCATTAGCTTACATCCTGCAGGCCGTGGGCTCACCCCACCGCAGCATCCCCTGGCACAGCACAGCACAGCCCTGCCTGTGCTGGTTTACATTGCACAAACGGGACATGTATAACAACGTGCTGGAATGCAGAGATTTGATTTGTGACCTATTTATACAGGGAGGTAATCTGGAATTAGTATAGGAAAAATATTACCGCTTTATAAATACCCCTATCTTGCCTCGCTGCAGACCTCAGCCAGGAGTGAAACATCTGCCAGCCTAAAATTAAACATCTGTGCTTTACGGGAGGGAAACCGCCATGAGTTTAATGCCTAAAAAGGGCAGCAGTGCCTGACCCAGGGCACGGGGTGTGTGCACACACAGCCCCCATGGAAAACCAGGGGGAACTAAGGCCTTACAGTCCTAAAAGACATCCCGATCCCTCGCAGGTGACATCCTCCTGCCCAGCCCCACTGCTTGCTCCACTCCTGCTGGCTGCGGATGGCAGCAGGTCAGGGCTGCTCACTGCAGATCCCGGGCTGCTCCGTGCCCTCCTTCCTCACTGTCAGGAATCAGAGGCCAGGAGAGAGAACTATTCTCTCAGCTAATTACCACAACTCTTCCATAATGGCTATTTTAGATGAATTTTTAATGACAGGCGCTCCTGTCAGTGCGGGATTTCATAACTTCCAAGCCCAGCCTTTTGCCATCCTGGAGCTCGGCTGCATCCAGATCTCCCCCACCCCTAAAAAAAAAAAAAAAAAAAGCAATGACAGGCAGAGGGGTCGGAGCCTCACCTCACACAACCCCACTGCTTCCCATCAGCATCAGCGTGCTGCAGGTGCAAGCAGTGAGCCGGGAGCAGCGCGCAGAGCAGCGCATCTGCACGTCCTGCTGCAGCCCACTTCAGAGCGGGCCCACGGCGCTGTAATTAGGGATAAAAATACTTTGGCTTTTGTTGAACATCTCCTCGAGTTGAGCGTTTCTCCGATCAGATGTTAGGAACCTCATTGAGCCTCAGCAGCTGCACATCCGGAGCAATGGATGGAATCGGGCACTTCGCTGCGGCGCTGCCACCGCGGTGCTCCAGGTGTGCACCTGTCCTCGAGCTCCTCTGCAGCTCCTTCCCCGCATCCCAGGGATTTTCCTCAGGTTCACACTGCAGATTCTCAGCGCTAAGCAAGGCTGCGTCCCGCTCCTCTCCTCCCAGCAAAGCCCTTTTTGTCAAGGTCACAGTGCACATCTCACAGCCCGGGTGCTGGGATCGCTTCCGAACGTAGGATAGGGCTGGATGTGGGCAAACAAGCACGAATTCGGGGCTCAGCACTAAGCTCTGGGCAACGCTGCCATCGGGGCCAACCCAGCACTGCCGGGTGGGGGCAAAGCATAGAAAAATGGGGGGAGGAAAAAAAAGAAATGCCTGAAATCCAGGGCTCGATGTGCCGCGCTCTCCTTCGCTTTGTTTTTGTTTGTGCAAACGGGGCTCCTGGAAACCCTGGCAATCTGTTTGAAGCGGCTGCCCCATCCCCCCAACCTTTGTGAGGCTGCAGGAGCTCCATGCCAGCAGTGGGATTAGCCGGCTCGCTCTCTTCCATCTCACAGTTTTATTATTCTGCACCTTTTGAGGGTACGGTTTATCCTGAGTAATTAAAACACACTTAGCTCTACAAGTCCCGACTATAATGGAATAGCTTAGGTTTTATTTTTTTTAATCTCTTTTTTTTGTGTGCCCCGTTTTCCAGGAAGCCCGGTACCAGAGCTGGCTTCATTAAAACAGGAAACTCCCTCAAAACGTGCGGCTGCGGAACAGAGATTTTAGCAGAAATTGAGGGCAATGCAGCCCTGCATGGGGCACAGCTTCATCCTAACAGCTCCCATAGAAAGCAGCACAGCCTCCCTCCACCGTGACACCCCGCTGCACACACACCAAAGGGCTCAGGGATGCCCAGGGACGCTCCCAGGCCTCGGAGCATCGCTCAGAGCTGCTTGGCACAGCATTCACCCTGCCCCAGGCTCCCAGCAGCCTGCAGGATGGGTTTTGTTCTGCTGCTCTCTATGCACTGGCCCCACGACGGCGAAAGGCAAACACGGCACACAAGGCTATAATCCCATTTCTCTGAAGAATAATGCTCCGAGCGCTCAGCGCTGAGGACAAGCCCATATTACTCGCTGCGTGCTCTACAGTGAGAAAACACAAAACAAAATAAAAACAAACCCGGCGTGGAGGAAAGCAGCCTGAATTCAGCTCAGCTTGAGGGCAGGCTGCTGGCACAGCCCTGTGCACGCACAGAGCCTGCCCCGACCCCTGGCACTGCAGCGGGGACACAGCGGAGAGGTTAGAGGGTCCTTCACTAGGCAAACATTTCTGACAGCAGGTGGAACAGCATCACCGCTGCGAGGAGTCATGGATGTGGATGCTTCCATACAGTAATAAAATGGTACCAGTGGGACTCGAAGCGCTTTTCCCTGCTTGACTCCAGTGCACCAGGCGGGCCTGGCAGAGGAGTGGCTGTCAGTGCAGGTAGGTGGATAGCAGTCCTCCTGTGCTCCTTCCCACAGCTGTTCCCATCGAACATCTATGGGGGTGATTTACGTGATGACGTTTGGAAAAAGGGACACAAGCATGTTGCACCGCATGTTTCAAAAGGCTGGGATGAGGGGAAGGAGCCTCACACCTCACAGAGCCCAGAAGGTGACCCACGGCACCGCAGGACACGTGACACACTTGGAGGTGGCCACTGCCCTCGGGATGTCCCAGCGCCAGACTGTCTGCAAACCAGCAAAGCCACAGAGCCACCAGCTCACCAACCAGCCCCAACCCAGCGCAGAAGGACCGAGCAAAGCCTCATGGAGAGGGGAGAACCAAAGGACAGAGCGCGCTCCTTACCAGAATAGCCTCCCGAGGACTTGATGTACATCTGCCCGTACTGCTCCTCCACCATGGTGTCGTACGCCTCGTCGTCCTCCTCATCCTCCTCGTTGTGGTAGGACGTGGGGCTGTCAGTGGTGGGGATGCTGCTGGCGCCGGGGCTGGTGCGCTCCCCCTGCGAGTACTGCACCTGCTGCACGGTGGGCAGGAGGGAGGCCAGGTTGGGCACCCCATAGTAGGAGACACGTGACAGCTTCAGCGGGCCGGCAGCAGGACCTGCTCCTGCAGGGCCATCACGTGCGCCCGGCTCCAGGGGCCGCTTGGCAGGCAGGCCCGGCACGGCGGCCGGCGGCAGCTCCAGGCTCTCGTGCTTGACCCGGGTGAGGAGCGGGATGGGCATGGAGGGGGACATGACGTAGGGTGCAGAGGCTGACTGCAGCTGGTTGCAGGGGCTCTGCGGCTCTGAGGAGGGGTCTTCGATCATGGCGGTCTGAGAGTCACAGTGGGGCGAGCTCACCTTGAACATCAAGTCTGTCCCCTTCTCCACGATGTGCTGGATCTGCAGGAAGCCCGCCGTGTACATCACCACCAGCTGCTCGCTGGCCGCCATGGTGAGCTTGCCGGTGTAGCAAAAGGAGAGGATCTGCTGGAAGCAAGCGGGGGGCACCGTCCCTGGCAGCTCAAAGGCATTTTTGCTGTTCCCGCTGAACAAGTCTCGGAAGTAGAGGCTGCTGGCAGCCAGCACGGCACGGTGTGCCTTGAAGGCCTGGCCCTTCACCACGATGGAGACATCGCAGTACAGCCCCAGCAGGCGCTGCTCGTTCAGGCAGCCCAGCACGGTGTTCCCAAAGTTGGGAATCTCTATGTGCAACATCTGCGACATGGCTCAGGATCCGCCGGAGCTCCTCAGGCATTCAATGCAGGGGTATCCAAAGTAGGGCACATCTGAAAAAGGGAGAAGGCAGGGAGAGAAGAACAGTGTTTTCAGACAGCTCGGAGGCACACGGTAACGCCGAAGGCTCCAAGCCGTGGTTGGAGCCAACGCAGCAAAGCAGTGCCTTATAAAATCGCTTATCGACGCTCTTAAACAACGCTCATGGAGGATAGCGAGGGATGTTTGAGTTTTGGAACATTTCCTTAAAGTTGCGGTCTGTTTAAATAAACCCCACTGATTTATTCCCCCGGGGGTTTACTTTATACAGCAAAATGTGACCCATAATGGGAGAAGAGAGCACAGCAAAGCGCACAGAGAGCAGACAGACCTTGGGCAGCGTTATATAAGGAGCACCACCACCACCGCCGGCTACACTGAAACTATAGAAAAGACATTTAGAAAGCAAAGTGCCATTTCGCCCGAGATAAAGGCAGGATTCCGTCAGTGCTCCCATCTCAAAGCACTTTCTAAAGCAACCTTCACGTCTGCACCAGAAAGAGGAAGCATTTCAACAGTTAAACCCTTTCTCAACAGAATGAGCCCCGAACAAAACACTGCTTATCATCTCACACACTGCGGCACGCTGGGTGCTGCCGGGGCGCAGACCCCACAGCACAGCTCAGGGTGGGGGGCCCGGCCCGGCCCAGCCCAGGGCAGCCCCCACCTGCAGCACCTCGGGGCTGCTCACATCCTCAATAAATGTGATGGGAGCGTGGAGCCGGTGCGCAAAGCTGAGATGGTCAGCATCAGTGCCTCCTGTGCACCACAACTCCGGCAAAGCAAAGCACTGCGCATTCAGCAGCTCACAGCCAGAGCCCAGGACCCCCCCCCACCCCCCCAGGGCTCCATGCAGCAGTCCGGCAGATAAAAAACAACTGAAAATCCCAATTGCCATCAATGCTGCTGAGTACAGACTGTGGTTAAGGAGGACTGAAAGCTCCGGAGAACATCACTTTAAACAACAACAACAAAAAAACCCCAAACTGAAGTTAATCTGAGAAAGACTGAGGAAAAAAAAAAAAAAAAAAAATCTGCTCTGAAAAGAAAATAACCCACAAAAAACTGCTCTGTTCCCAGTGCTGGGGGGGAAAAAAAAAAAAAAACCAACAAAAAAAAAACCAAACCAACAAAAAGTCCTATCCGCAAGGCCACGGGGTAACAGGAAGAAAAGGGAACGCTCGGAGCCAATTTCATCCTATCTGCACGGTTCAATAAAACCCTTCCGAGCGAGGAAGTTGGCGGCCCCCCCGCCAGCAGGGCACGTACCTTCCAGCCGGGTCCGGGGGTCCCCTGCCCTCCTCTCACCCCGCACTGCGCGGGGACGCCGAGCGCTCGGGGGAGGAAAGCAGTGCGGAGCCCTTCGCTTCTATCTGCTGGAGCTCAAGCTCTTACCAAGTCAAATCTCCACGGCAGTGCATAGCATCTAAATGAATAGGCCGGATGCAGATTAACATTCAGGCTGCTCTCTGCGATGAATAGAGCCCTTTGATTAGGGACCTGAAGTAAATGCCAGTTTCAAACCGAAGCTTTAAAAACAGAGAAATATCAGTGCCAGAGGAATGCTCTCAGTGTTGGTACAAGACAGACTTTTGATGAGTCACTGCAATGCAAACAAAGATGGCAGAAATACTGTACTGTATGCTGATGAAATGCTTAGTGGTGCCACGGCAACTGAGACAGGTTTTAAATTTATAGTGCAGTTTTGCATATGAATTACGCTGTAAACTGCCTCCCCTGCCATCTAGTACATCCAGAGTGTCAAAGCATTTAAACTATTCCAAACAGTCTGCAGCGCTGGCACTGCTGCTGGTGACTCCTCAGGCTGGGGAAGGGGCGGTGAGCCCAGCATCCCACAGCCAGCATTCCCACACTGAGCCCAGCATCCTGCATCCCTATATCCTGTACCTCAGCATCCCCACGCTGAGCCCCACACTGAGCCCAGCATCCCCACGCTGAGCCCCATACTGAACCACAGCAATCTGCACCCCAGCATCTCCACACTGAGCCCAGCATCCTGCAGCCAGCATCCCCACACTCAGCCACAGCAACCTGCACCCCAACAACCCCACCCCAGCACCCTACCATCCCCACACTGAGCCCCCAGCATCCCACATCCCAGTATCCCCACTCTCAGCCCCACACTGAGCCCCAGCACCCCACACCCCAGCATCCCTACAACGAGCCCCAGCATCCTGCAGCCCAATGCCCCACATGGCAGCACCCCGAGCCCATTATCCCACACCGAGTCCCTGCACCCAGGCACCCCACACCACCCCAGTGCCACCACCCCAAAAGGACAGGCTGGAGTGCCCGGGCCAGTGTGAAATAAAGGTGCTCTGTGGGCAACCACAGGCATGATCCACCTCCCTCCCACCCCCCCTCCCATAACATACAAGAAAGCCTTTCAAATGCAGGAAAAATGTTTACCCCTTGGGGAAAGCTTCTTTCAGTCTGTGGCTGAATCCACTAAAAGCAAATCCATTTGCTTAAGTAATGAAATCCTAGTCACATTGTCTCCTGGATTCAGATTTTAAATTACCTTCGCGTTTATTGAGCATGTTTGGTGCTATTTTCTGGGAAAGAGGGTGGGGCCTTACTTTGCTTACTTATCTCTCTACCCAGAGCGTTTTTATTTCGATTACTGCTCTAGGATTTGTTTCCATGGCCCTGCTCAGATGGTCGCAGGCAGGGAAAAAGTAGGAGATTAAAGGCCACGGCACTCTTAGACAAGGATGGGAAGGGGAGAATGGACACGGGCTGCAGAGCTCCTGCTCAACACCTGCCCATTTATGCACACACAACTCCACTTCTCCTGCCCTGCTGCCCATTTGGTGCATTAAGTTCTGCCCCATCGTCTGCATGGGGCGTTAAGTTGCACTCTGGGGAACAGCGGGGTCAGAACTGGTAGAACAGACAGGAATTGTTCACACTGCTTAGAATTTGCTCTACAAACAACCACGTCCCAAAAAGTCACCAAAACCGAGCCGGTTTCTGGATATGCTACCCAAGAATGCAGGCAAATCCCAGCGAGCTTTTGAAAGCCCAAATGACCCCGAGAGGAGCCCAGGGCTGCTGTTTTGTTTCCTCCTCTTTTCCATCACCTCCCTATGGCAGGACTATTGGTAGCCAAATAAATAGGGCCAAGGCAGTCCTAAAGCCAAGCAGAACCTGTTCCCCATCGGACCTCCCATCCCTACAGCCAACAGCCACAAGTCAGCACCATGACCAGGCAGTGGATGCAACACAAGAGATAATGTCTAACTTCAAAAACTCTTCTTTTTTTTCCCCTCCTTTTTTTGGGGGGGGGCAAAACAGCACCAAAATGACTGGGAGCACCACTCCCACCAAACAAGCCAACACGAAACCTCAGGCAAAACCCAATTCAATCCAAACACCCCCTGAGTGTTTAAGAATTATGCAAGGTATGCGACAACCGAAGCAAGACATCGCTTTGTTTTCCAATGGAAGCCTCTTATCTGAGCTCTGACACAGGCCAGGAGAAACGGTCCATCTCTGCACCGTCCTGTGAAGTCACAGCCTTTGTCACAAGGAGCTCATCAACATTTCAGCTGCCGCACGGTGCAGTGCTGTGAGCTCCCAGGTTCTGTGCAGGATCGCTCGGTCCTGAAGAATTTCTCTTCTCTAAGGCCTGAGAGGTCGGGGTGAGCCAACGGCAAAGAGAAAGGCATCGATCCGGAATCTGATGCCGGCATCAGAGCTCCCATAGGAGTAATCAGAAATAATTAGATAATTCATTTAAATAGTCTTTTCCTTAGCCAGCCTACAATGAGATCTGGAGATTTCACCACCACCACCAACAAAAAAAGCTCAAAGAGCCCACAAAAGGCAGAAGAGCCCTACAAAGGGTCCCTGCCCTATGTCCCCATAGGCCACAGGGCACTCGTGGCACAATAGAGTGGTGAAGCTGTGTCCCTGGGGGCCCGGCAGTAACAGGAACCCCTCTTCTCTTCTGCAGAGGTGAAGAGGGAGGGAAAAAACAAAAAAATTAAAAAAAATTAAAAAAATATCCCATCCTTGGGCTTCAGGCTGTGGGGCCGGAGCTGGGAGGTGCTGTAGCACCAGGATTCCCCATGGGGATCCTTAGCGCCAGCCTGGCTGCAGCTGCAGGGCTGGGGCTGCGTCCCCCCTTGTAACAACAGGATGGAAAGGGAACGGGTCAGACAAAGTGCCTGCGCTGGGCAGGGGCTGCCAGCCAAGGGCCGGGTGGGGAGCAGCTGTGCTGCAGCACCGCAATCGCAGCCCTGCAGTGAGAGCAGCGAGCAGCGCTGAGCCCCGACCCCTGCGGCAGCGAGCGGCTCCTGGCTTAGCGAGGCAAAACGCACGGCTTGGCGAGGAGCACCGCGCACAGAGCGGGCTGGAAGGCAGCACGGGAAGCAGAGCAGTGAGGGGCAGCGCGGCGCTGCTGTCAGCGGCGGCACACAGCTCTCAATGCCCGCAGCTCCGCGCTGCTGCAAGGTGAGTGGCAGCGCCGGGTCACCCCTCCGGGCAGCTCCCACCTCCCTGTGCCACCGCCGGCACCGTCCATTCCTTTGTGTTTTGTTTTTTTTTTCTTTTTTCCCCATCGCTGCTCTCAAGCAAGGACATGCAAGAATAGAAAAGGCAACAAGGAATTATTTTTTTTCTTTTCTTTTCTTTTTTTTTTTTTTGCAGCTTGCCACAGGGAAAGGGGTAAAGGAAAAGCAGGGATGAGAAATCAAACTATCCTGCAGAATTTGGGGCTGTTCCAACCTAACAAAGCAGCCGGGTGACCCCGAGGAGCAGCAGAAAGCACCCGGAGCCCCTCCGCCACCGCTGCAGCACGCGCCTCCTGCATCCATCCCAAGGCAGCCCGCAGTAACGCAGCAGAAAGACAAGTGTCATGCTGAATTGCATTCTCCTCGCACACAACAGCCGAGCGGCAGCACCTAACATGCATGGCTCAGCCCTGCCGCCACGCCACGCCGGAATGGAGAGCCTTAAAATAAGGTAAATATCTTAAAAGGTCAATTAG